GAGATTTCAACATAATACTAAGTCGCTGAGAAAGAAAGATATAATACGAGTGAAATTATACATTCAATAAACTATGAAATTTTCCAAAAGAAAATCATTAAAAAAGGTTTGGCCTAGGAATCGACACTTCACCATTAATAAAGAGAAATTCAAATTACTTATCAAAATAGCAAACAAGGGTTACGTGACTTTGAGTACGTTACAACCTTCCCCCCCTCTACTTGGAGTATAGGATCTACAGAGTAGGTAACCGACGATAATAAATAATGTTGCGCTACCAATAACCTATAGAGACTAGGACCAAACTAACTATGAGGATATCCAAATTCACACAAAAATTGCCACCCAAAAAAAAGACTCTAAATTTAAGTAAACAAAATCCGGTAGATCATGCCAAGAAGGAGCAAGCGAAGAGCAATGGGTACACTGGCAATACTTCCAAAGTGGACACTGATCCGCTGATATGCGACCAGATAAATTGGCATTGCGTCATCCTCATTGGGCCTGAGGATAACCTCGTGTACCAATCTCATTCCGAAGCTAAGGTAGAGCCCCAACTACACCTCTCCGTATACCAAGCCAGACATGACCAACCGATGGTGGACAGAACACTAACAAGAATTGTGACACTTATGTCCACCCTTATATGGAGGTAAGATATAGTTCTATCAGACCGGAAAGTACTCAAGGCGCCAGGATCCGATCAAACAAAGAAAAAAAAAACAAATTTAGATAGGGTGTTCCGTGATTATGTTACTGTCGGTGATCCATCAGAAAGCTATCCTGGGCGGGGCTGAGGTGTAACGCAGAAGTGAGGGGGTGTTTGGCATCGTCAGAATGTTACTGAGACGCAAACCAAACCAATCGCCACCCGACGCACATCCTTCCGAATAAAACCTGCATAATGGGCAACAAAAAGGGAGCTGACACACGCCGGCACTCAACACAACACAGCCTCAAATGAATCAACCTAAAATACAGAACAAAGACATTGATCGAAACCACACAACCACACTGAAGGTCAATATCGGTATAGGAGGTAGAAATTAGGTAATAACAAGATCAAGATCGGGACATGAGTTATGACGGGTTCAAAATCATGATCAACGTAAAGTAATGCCCAATAGAAGGTGCCATGTAGACACGTAAAATGTCAAACAAAATCAAGTGCACTATAAGAATTTCAGTCATATAATCAATATATAAATATCTATAAAATGGTTAATTAAAATATTTTACCAGTTCTTTTTTTATACCATCGGACCACGTGCATTAATGCGTGTCCTGAAGAAGTTTGTTCAATATCTTGTTGCGTTTAGTGGAAAGGCATTCCGGAGAACCACCACACACTCCTCCACCTTCCAACCTTGATGTGGACATTTGAAATTTCATTTTAATTAACTATTTTATAGATATTTATATATTGATTATTGCTGATTGAAATTTTTTAGAGTGCACTTGATTTTTTTTGGCATTTTACGTATTCAAATGTAGGGCAGTGCCTCCATGGCATCTTCTATTGGGCATTACATTGCGTTGTTCATGATATTGATTTTTGAGCTGCCATAACTTTTTTAGAACAGGGGATACATTTATGAGATAGTCGTTAATAATACTATAACAGTAGTGTCCAAGAGATTTCAACACAATACTGAGTTGCTGAGAAAGAAATACGTGTGGAATTATACAATCAATAAACTATGAAATTTGCCAAAAGAAAGTCATTAAAAAGGGTTTAGGCCTAGGAATCGGTACTATACCACCAAAAAAAGTTTACGTGATTGTGGCACGATACAACATACTTCAAGGACCGTAATAAGAACTACAGTTTGGCGGTTGCATACTGACATATTGAGGAACATTATATTGAGGAAACCTGTCAAATTTACATACACACGATTATTGTACAGCCGCAACATCACAGGCAGTGTAGATAGATAGATACATTTATTGTCTTGTATATCATAAAAAATGACATAAGACTCGTCCTAAGAGGGAGGTACATAGTACACATAATTAAAAATAAAAACGAAACAAACATAAGTATTTACAAAGTACAAACAGGGACAACTTAACACGTACAGACATTCACATATAAAAAAAGTTTAAAAAAATATATCACAGTGCGAGGTATTCAGACAAAGAGTAGAAACATTTTTCAACTAATAATTTGCGTAGTTTACATTTAAAACTAGCAATACTACTGACACTCCTGAGGTTAGCTGAAAGTTTGTTATATATTCTGATGCAGGTGTATTCCGGTGACTTTTCGAACAGCGTCAGTGTGTGTTTTGGAATACTCGGACTCTCACCTGCCCTTGTATTATAATGTGTGTTGATGCTTTTGTTCTGTATAAATTTTGTTTTGTTTGTATGTGTGAAAAGGGCGCACTTATAAATATGAATGCTTGGTAGAGTCATGATGTTTTTACTTCTGAAGATATCTCTGCAGGATTCTCTTCTACGAATGTTGAATATCAGTCTGATTATTCTCTTCTGTTGAACAAATGCTCTAGAAATTGAAGTTGCTTGTCCCCAAATTATGATGTTCCTTGATAAATGTGAGTGGACGAGAGCATAATATACATCTAGTAAAGCTGACTCTGATAAGCAAAACTTGATCTTAAGAATCGCATAATATGATTGGTTCAACATTTTACACACACTGTCCATGTGTTGTTGCCAACTGAGCTTTCCATCCATTTCTATTCCCAAGAATGTCGTAGTTTTCGATGTCTCATGATTTGCTAGAATAGGGGCGTTTGTATAAAAAAGTACAACATCTGACTTTTCGAGGTTTAAAATCAAACGATTTGCTTGGCACCACCCTTTCATTTCACATTTTACTCCATTTATTTTTGCAATAATGTCATTGCGTGTAGTTCCACTTACAAGAACTGACGTATCATCCGCATAATTTGTTACAAATCCAGAGAGATGCAAATCACTTATATACAGAATGAATACAAGGGGTGCTAAAACTGAGCCTTGCGCTACTCCAATGTCGGTAGTCGGTACTGTACGTTGCGGATGTAATTCCGTTAACTTTTGTTTTGAATTTCCTGTCAGACAGGAAAGACACTACCCAATCTAATATAAAACCTCTTAAACCTAAATAAAATAATTTTTCCTCGAGAAGTCCAATGTCAATTGTATCGAAAGCTTTCGATAGGTCAAAAAAGATGCCCGCGATACATTTATTCATATCGAGCTGTTTATATATCTGACATACAAACTCATAAGTAGCTGTCTCTATTGAATGAAGTTTCCTAAATCCATGCTGCGAGCTTGGGATAAGGTTGATTTTTTCAGCATATCCCAAAATTCTTGTATAAATCGCTCTTTCGATTATTTTAGAAAAGATTGACAACAATGTTATGGGGCGGTAATTATCAACTTGAGTAGGATCTCCCTTTTTTGGAACGGGAACTATTATCGCAAGCTTCAGGGATTTAGGAAATTTGCCTTGATAGACAAACATGTTAATTAAAGTTGTGAGAGGACCTGCAATTTCATTTAAAACACTTTTAATAACACGAGTAGTTACACCGTCACTACCAAACGATTGTTTGTTTGGAAGGTCGGATATGATTAATTTCACTTCTTCATCGGTGACCTCAGTGTAGAACATTGAATGCGCTACTTGAGTTTTAGCTTCTGCTGCTGGTAGTGGGGATAGTCCTTTGAAGTGGTGTTGGAGCTTACTTACTACTTTGCTTGAAAAATGTTTCCCAAAAGCGTCAGGCACACTAATCTGTCCCATATCTCCACCGTTGTCATTTTTAAGTGAAATTACTCCAGAGTTCTTTTTACGTCCAAGCTCCTGGTTGACTATTTGCCAGATCTAAAAAAAATAGCAACATGGTTTATTGCTACCCACGTGAATCGGATGTGATTTAATGACTCTGGGGATGGCTGGTTGCTTTTGGATAGAACGAGTTTCTGAACTTTGAATAAATCCAGACCTGTATTTGTGTTAGTAACATAATCGGTTAGACAGGATAAGCTGGGTTCGCATATACGGAATATATAAGTTGCTTTTAAAGTAATGAGGTCAAAAAGAAATAGAATAAATTGTGGAGACCCTGTGCATGTATTTATATTGATAGGAGAAACACTTTAAGACAGCCAGCCTCCTCCTGATGCTGATGCTAAATCACCATTGAAATGTGTAACACTACGGCAATGTTGCTATTTAACAGATCAGGTGAGCGCGTAGCTAAGCAACTCCATATCATTAATTTGCTTGGATGACTTTATTTGACAGTCTCTGATAGTCAGAAATTCTTTGTTGTGTTTTCCGAAATACTAAGAAACAAATGAGAAATGTACTGTCACTCTTTGGACCGTAGCTCTGTAAAACTTTTTTCGATGTCCCTAAAGTAAAGATACGTTCTGGAATAAAAGCAGAACAATGTTCACAATTATTAAAAAATTTGGAATAGTTGAGGATGTCTCACCATGGAAGACATTGATGAGTTGCGGCACTTATTAACCTCTTATTATATTATTAATAAGTAATTCTATTTTTAAATCTCTAAGGTAGAAGGGTTGTTTTGGGATTAGCTACTTGACTAGAAATTGAAATAATAGTCCAGCACAACGGTCTAATCCAGTTAAAACTACAGTTACGTCCCAAGTCTGGTAAATTGTTTGAGCTCACTGAACGCCTATTCAGAAGCGTTATTAAACTTGCTAAATATCATATTAACATTCATCCCTTCCGGCACGGTTTGGCAGCGCGATGACGTGCTCGCCATCATTATTTATCTATTAGCTGCCGTAATCAATCTTAATATCCCTAAGGGATCACAGATTTCCGGGCATGACCATTATCCTAACCACCTAGCTGAAATGAAGGTTCATGCTTTGGGTACCGCAACGGACAGTCGGTGAGCTACACCGATGTTTTAATTAGATCGACTTTTCTGCCTTAGACCATTAGTGTTTTTTATCAATGACGTGTTTCCGTCAGTTAATAGGTTTGTTTGTACAGTGGTCGGTAACTTGTCGGTGACTGTGTGACCTATATAGCGTAGTAGAGTGAATGGAATTTGTGTGGCGGGATCATGGACACGGTAGGTATCTGACAGGTTGGCAAGTGCTCTACGTACAGGGCTTATATGAAAGAGATTACAGTTTATACATCACTTAACAACCAACGAATTCCAATGCGTTAGATGGAGCCAAGATTATATGTTTATACGACAGCGCCTGTCGCCAACATAACGTAACGTCAAATCAATGCAGCAAGGCGCGTTCTTATCTCTGAAAATGACATTAGAGTAGCCAACTGTGAACTGATAGAATTTATTTAACATACAAGCACACATATAATATAAAACAGTATGAATAAAATAAAATAGACAACGTCTATGAAAAACATGTCCTCGTACGCGAGTACGAGTACCTAGTCACCCACCCATTCATACTATCATACCTGCCCACTTGTTCCAAATATCCACTGCGTAACTGTTAATTTTACTATTTGCTTTGAGCAGTGGCCTCAAACTTCCACAACTGCTCATAACTTTCCCTCTCGCCTTCACCCTTTCCGCAATCATACATTCTTCTCATATATGCTTTGCACGTTCTACCACGCTCTCATTCACCTATTTCGGTCCTCAATCTAAATCTATGCAAGTAGGCCGGAAGATTATCACGCCCGCTGTAAAGAACTTATAAAGCGTCAAAACATAAGATGTCAACTTGCAGACTAGGTAGTGTTTAGGGCACAAACAGTCATTCCACGTTTGCTCACTAGGATCGTTGTGAACGTCCATCTATGAAGGAATCACTCAACTAAACTACACGCATTATTGGTTGTATAAACGTTTTGTGAGGCTAAGTGGTCTGTGTCTGTAGTTTTTATCTCTGAGAAGAAAGTCGGTTGAATGGCAAGATCGCATCTGGATGATTATTTGTATAAAATCAGTGATATTTGCTGTGTGAGAAAATCATTACTGAATATGCCAAATATGACGGGTTATTTATATGTTGTGCTTTCTGAAGAGAGGTTATGTTCAAAGTTATAAATTACGAAAAACTGAGGAGAATTATGGGAAATCATCACCGCGCCCGCGTTGTGTGTAATTACTGTTAGCATGTATATGGCTTGCGCTTCAACAATGTGCAGAGAATATAATATTATTTCTTATCTCTCTCATTTATTCAGCAAATTTGCATATGTAAATTTCAGGATGAATAAGGAAAAGTGCATGCACAACTAGCTTTGAATATCAAGTAAGTGCATTTGAGACAAGAATCCAATGGAATTATCATCAACACATACAACTTACAGCTTAGACCTCCAGTAATGCCATCTCTGCAGGAGATTTTACATAACATCAGAGCGAAACATTGATAACTAAAGCCTCATGACGTTTAGCCAACACGTACAACTAAGTGTTAACCTACATAATATCAAAAAAAAAACAGTGTAATTTCAAAAAATCGATATAACGTCACTTTTCAAGATATACGATACCCGTGCGGACCTCTTTGCATACCTCCCTTCTTTTCTTACTAGTATTCCACTTTTGCTACCGTTCTCTCACTACTTGATCTTTTGTTCTAATTTTCGGTTCCCTCTTGGATGTACTGTCGTACATTGGTGCAGAAATATCATCTGTAAAGCGAAGAAATGGAGGTACGTATTCATTAAAGATACATCAAATGAAAAATTCCGACATGATTAGTAAATTTTGAGGAGACCTATCCATACACTCGCCTAAGGTTGATATGGCAAATTCAAAAATACGAGAAAAGGTTATCTTATGGGATGGTATACACGAAATGTATTGAAAACACGCGTTACATCTAAAAATTGAATAACATGCGTTGTGTTGTATCTACTTCCGGTACAACCGGAGGCAACACCATTGTGAAAATTTTCATAACAGTCATACGTCAACTTTTCGAGTAATCAATCGCTGCAACTTTATGTGGGACTTTATCACATATAATAGATTTTTTAGGTAGTGCTGGGGTTTCCTAAAAAAATTTTGTGGCGCTAAAATAAAAAAACATAAAATTACTGTTTATAACGCGAAACTGAAGACCTTTCCTAAGAACTGTTAAATTCAAAATGTATTTGGCGTTTTTACTTCGCACGCTGCTGGCGAGGAAGTACTGTAATCGTATTAATTATTCCAAATAGGATATTATGGTTTTTCAATTCTATGTGTCATGTACATCACAAAAAACCATGTCACTGTCGGTGTGTCCATCTGTTTATCCGCTAACCCTTGGCCCGTCTATAACTCGGAAAGTACTGCTGGAATTCAATTGAATTTTTTACTTAAGGTTACTACTATACTAAGGATCAAAATGCGTGTTATGTTTTTAAAAATCGGTCCAGTGACGGTGAAGAAAAATGCCAAAAACGAAAAGAGCAAAAGTCGCTCAAACTTCGTTTTTTAACGTTTCAGAGGACTTTAGGGGTACAAATTAGGGGGTGGGAAGCTTGTATGGAAATTGTTTGGTGTTACTATGTTAATATGCCCCGATACTACGCACCTATTAGACATGTTTCACACATCATACATTTGCCTTGGAAACTTGTTAATTAAACAAATATTTTCAGCCTGCAAATCGCAGACCTATCGGCCGCACTTACCGTGCGCCACGGTGTTTTCATTATTGCATCTTTGGTAGGTAGTCCGAACCGCGCAATGACGCTATATGCACATACTGGGTGGGCGCGATATCTATATATGTATACCAGCACTATTGCACTACATAGGAAATTATACTAGAAATTATTTCGAAGGGGTGAGAAGTAAAGAGCCAATCTACTTGACGTGATTTTTTTCTTGTTTTTTTTCGATGGAGGTTTATATTTGAAGCCTTGTGAACAAAGCTTAGACTTGCACTTACGACGCAGAAATGCAGATAAAAGCCCAACGTTCAGGTACATGCCTTTTCGCGAAGTTGATGACTATCCTTTATCAACAATTACCAATAAAAGACTGCTTTTTTCAGTGACGGAAGAAAAGTTTGACGTTCTATCTCTGTTGACAGGTAAGAAAATGTCACTTTTCATGGAATTACTTTTTTCCCAGGGAAAAAAATTAGTACTTTTTTCTTGGATATTGTATAAATGATTTAGCTGGCAATAATTTTTGTGACGCTACTTTGACTACTTTTACTAATTCAGGTAGAGTGAAAAAAAAACTTGGAATCAGACATTTCTTAATTTATAGTATTAAAAATAACTACTAAATAACCACTAAGTTCATAATATTTAAATCAAATCACAAAATTAAATTACAGCTATTTGATTACTTTCAAAGTTTCCTTAGCAACGCAGGTCAAATTGTCGCTATAAGTACAACACAGCCTACTAATTTCAAAATTCAAATTTCATATCGATAGTTTTCTGACTTAAATATTGTAATAATATAATTTTTCAATATTAAATCGTTGATTTTCCTGTCAGAAAAGAATTGTGTAGTATTCCAGGGTAAAAAGTACTAGATTTTGACTTTCGGTTTTTTGTCTCCCTTCGCTGCGTGTCGGGAGACAATACGACCTCAAGCTAAAATCTAGTACTTTTTTCCCTTGTATAATAAATAACTATTATTCATCATAAACTGATTTTTGCCATCCACAAATATCATTTGTATGGAATTTCCTTGCGCTTTTCTGATTTGGAAGAAAAGAACTAATATAACAGCAAGTGTCACGAAGTGTAAAAGTGACATTTCAAGCCTAATCATCTTGTATTCTTGCATCCTGACTATCATATGGTAGAAAGATTGTATAATCTAAATCAGCGACAAGCAGCTAAAAACCAGTTACAATCGACCTCTCTAGAGAATATCACTTTGATTACTAATTTTACCATAATATTCAATTATTACTAAGATAATTAATTTCAGCAAACTCTTCTTATTCACTTTTCCAACAAATCTTAAATTACTATTACTATAATTCTACTTCTACACTTCAATAAATACCAATTTCACCTCATAAGTTCCATAAGGAAAATAGTTGAAGGCTGTACTGCGTTATGTTTACTGATACGTTGCTATTTAAATGGTAACAGTAAGAATACACATATACAAGATATTTTCTAATCCTTAGAACATGCTAATTTGATGGGACTCTCAGTATAGAACATTCTACAAGAATAAGCAACTGTATATAAAACCTACAAAAATGTAATAGCTAAAAAAACGATCATACTATTATTCAGACATGAAAATACATTTTTACATTAACTACCTCTTGGAACATGTGGCTCATCGGAGTTAAGTTTGCAGCGATCTCCTGGAGAAAATCTAAACGATGAAAGTTTTAATGGTTAGAATATACACCTGAGACAATTGCTGAAGGAAAGCGTATTCCGTTCCAAGAAATATAACGCTCTTCCTTTTTAGCGAAAATAAATAGAGAAAATGAAAATTTAAGTAATTTTCTGATGAAACTCGGGCTTGGGTTACTTCTTTAACAGAAGTATACTTTAGCCCATTAAAAACTGAGAGCTCATTGGGGTCCTGTCATCCAAGTTTAAATGTAAACACATTTATATCCTCATCGGCGATCAATGGGGTGATCCTGCTGCTACAAGAATACGAAGCCAATGCAGCAGTTGTAGACAATAGGCTAGTTGACAATTTCATTTAAGTAGGTCTTAAATAGTTAATATTTGTTCTATTAGACCAAAAAGAATACTATACTTTTTTGAGGCCCAAAACTGTAAATCTTTTATTTAAAAATATATTTTTCTTAGACAGGCGAAAACGGTGACCGCCATGTTTGACCCATATAATAATGTGCTCTGATTCCATACCACCTGTAAACAGCAGCTGAGATAGCAGCATAACCTCTCAAACTTTTAAACATATACACATGATTTCTACTAGTTTACATAAAACATATAGTAATTATCGTTGTTGTAACGTCCGAGAATGTAAAAACACATCGATAAAGACTCCAGGAAAGCTGTGGATTAGACTGCCCAGAAAAATAAATATATACGCAACACCTGGCTATAACTTGCGCAAAGGGATCCTGAATCTTCATCGATGGTAACTCAAATTTATTTTTGCGAAGATCACTTTGATGTAATATT